TGCAGAAGTTAGCCAGTCAGGTGCGTTGCCTTCCAGTGCTTTCCTGTTTTCTCTTTAAGGAGGTTCTGCTGTGTGGGAGGTGTTTCGAACCCCTTACTGGCAAGAACACCATTTAGTGTGCGTGTTGAGCTCACAGCCCGAGAGTGAACAGGGCGGCGATGTGGTATTCCACAGTGAAAACACTAAGGTCAGTGAGTCCCAGGGTGCGACGCTGTGGACGGTCGCTGCCCTCCTTGCTCTGTCCACGAGGACACCAGGACTCGCACCTGCATGGGCCTGGTGGTTCAACAGTTTCCTTGGAAAGAAAATCGGAGGGGAGCACCCGAGCACTCTTCCCTCTTATCCCAGGACACCCACACTGAAGTTCGGCCACATTCTTTGCCTCTGCCCTTCACACCAGAGAGCTAGGGTGGGAAGGGAGAACAGCAGAGCCAGACTGGATGGCTCCCTCAGCGCTGCCCTGCTCTGTGGACGCTGAGAGGCCGTAGTAGTAACACTGCCCTTGAACGCCGAGTTAGAGCGGAAGACCCGCGCCTCCCCGGAAAGCTTCCCTTGTGTCATTTGTAGGATGTTATACACAATGTGTTTTCCTTACTGTTCCTAAATGAAAATTCATTTCAGTACATTCCCTCTTCCCGAATAGTCTTCCCCAGAGAAAACTGACATTTTCAATGTTAACAGCCATTCAGATATGAGATTTTCAACTTTAGTGAGGTAACAAATAAGCCGCTTACTGAATTCTCAGAAATCATGTTTCTCCTAAAGATAACTATATAATTACAGAATTCGTAAGGGATTTTATAGTTTTCCTTTTGTGTCTTAAACACATGGTAACGTGTGTCATTTATGTCTTCTCACGGGATGGATCTACCTCCAACAGAAATACAAAGAACACATCATGTCAGGCCCACAGGAGAGAAGCACCCTAATTTTCAAGTTTTCATCTTCATCGCTAAGGTTGCTGATTTATTTCCTCATGGCTCATTTTCTGTATCTTCTCCCCACCATGTATTTATTCCTGTTCATATCATAGCCCTTTGCACAGGAAATCTTCCCTTAGGGCTCAAGCACCAAAGGAAGAGAGTACAAGCAGAAAGTCCAATACCAAATACAGTGCACACTTCACTCCAGGAAGATGATCTTCTCTTTAGGAGGAAGTTCAGCAGATCAGGGCTACAGCGACCCAGGTTGGATCTAGCAGCTCTGACAGTCAGCTGAGATTGTCAGAGGCAGCGCAGTGCTCCCTGGTCTCCATGTGCAGGTTCTCCCGGCTGGTGAGGCTGGCTGAGAGCTCAGGGACACAGGCTCCCTCTCGGGCCTTGACAGCACTTTTCTGAAGCACAGCCTCACCCTCGATCCATCCACCACCCTCACCATGGAGGTTTGATCCCAGACTCGCCTTCCCGTCGGTGCTTTTCCATGGACTCCCAACACAGGGATGCAAAGATAAAATAAAGTAAAACACAGATTCTCCCCATGGAGTACTGCAAGAACAAATTCCTGGAGCGCATGAGAAACTCCTGACCTTTGGGGCAGCCCTCACTTCACTGTCTGCACCTTAAACACCGAGGCCAGTACTCATGATGTCTGTGGTTTTTGTGACAAAAACAACATGGAGAATAGATTCAGTTCAAAGGAACAAAAAGATAGACGGTAAACCATCAGAAGAAATAAAATTCAAAGGGTGCATCCGAGACAAGATTGAGGAAATACAGAGTTCCCTACCTAGGTGGGCTTCTCTGCCGTCCTGGTCAGATCCGTGCAAGGTGCTGGGTCTCCGCCCTCCACTCCTGCAGGTTCATAGTTCACCAGCGATCACTTGTCTGTCAGAAAAGCAGAGCTGGGTTCTGCTTCTCGCTCTCAGGTGATTAACTCGTTTAGGATGCCCCGGCCAGGGAGATAAAAAACGGTTTTGGGGTGATGTGTTACATTACTATCTCTTCCCACCACCACGATTGCAGAATTGAAAGGAGCAAGGACAAACAAGTACGAATGGTGTGAGTGACTAATGAGTGTCCTTTTGGTGCCTAGTTTGTTCCTGCAGCCACAGACACCGTGGACTCCGCTGCCTGGACAGAACTTGCTTCTCTACAGTCAACTACTGCAAACATTTGCTTGACTGAGCTTCGCCAGATGATTCAGTGCCTGAACACGGATCTCCATAAGATTTCCAAATACCTCATGTTCCTGAAGTGTCAAGTCATCTATGGTGACAGCTGCTAAACCTGTACCCATCGCTGTGTTTCTGACATGTTTCTTCATTAGCCCTTCCTTGGACATCTCCGAGTTGGTCTTTTTTGCTTTTGATGCGGACTTGGGTGTAAAGGTGTAACATGTGTCATATTAAAAGTTAGCAAGGAAATTTTAACATTTTCAAACCATTAAAAGTTATTATTAAAAATTACTTCTCTACACTCAGTAGAAAACCAAAAGCAGCTCTGTAGTCATTCCTACCACAATTCATCAGGAATGAAAGAAACTAGCCTTGCAGATAAGACAACTAGCAATACTCTTCAGAAGTGTAGCAAATTAATGCAGGGAAAGTCAAGAGGTCCAGCTGTAGATTGCTATTAGTCATTCTACTTATGCTATAGGGAAGAATGAATTCTGAGGACTCTGGGAAAGCTGCCACATCCTACGGGCCGACATTCACAGTATTTGGACAGACAATACTGGTTCTGTTGTAACCGCTATTGCCCTCCGTGGCGTGAGATTTACTGAACCACTGCAACTTGGGACTCAAGCACGACGGCTTTGTATTGCTCTCACGGCTGTGCTCACACACGTACCCTGCAGTCCCATCTCATGAGCGTCGTCTTGGAAACACTCCCTGTGCGCTCCTCACTCTGCACCTGATAAGTCCGGTTCCCTCAAGCTCTGAGTCCATCGAGCATTTGCCCATTGAATACGTTCCTCTCCTCTACAGCAGCTCAGGGTCACAGCAGGCAGAGCAGATGGTCAGTTTAGCCGTTTTTCTTCTCCACCCCTTCCTCCTTTCAAGTGAGAAACACCTCACACCCGTGACAACCTAAGGACCTCCACGAGGCCCCAACTCTTAACATCCAACAATGTCCTCCACTGCCACTGAGCCTCAATCACATGAAGCCTGGGGGCTCACCCAGAGCCTGTCCATACTGTACCAGCAGGGAAATACTACAAAGTTGATGAGCTCAGCAGCTTAGAGTAATGGAGGGATTTCTTCCAGTTCCAAAGAAGTACAACCCAATCAAAAGTACATGCTCTACTAACTGCAGAAACAAAATTAGATCATCTGAATAGTCCCATAAAATTTGGAGGTACGGTAGAAATGGACACTACGATGTAGAGTTTTCAGTCCCAGAATTAATGACAATTTTACACAATCTCTTTCCCAGAATAAGAGAAATAGCGAATAGTTTCTCTGGTGTGAGAAACTAAAGTTGTAAATAAGCTTCGAATTTTATAACTGACCGTGTGAAATTGGAAGAAAAGGGCTAAACATGTAGGGGAAGTAGGAAGAGTAGGGAAAGGGAAATAAGGGAAAGAAAAATATATGAGAAAAGGGAAACATGGAAACAAGGTCTTTGTAAATAGGGGCGGGGAAGGGGGTGAAGGGGAGATGAGGGCATGGGGACAACACGAGAGCCAAGATTTGTGTGTAAAGTATCAGATCCCAGCGACGAAGGAACTGTCCCGTGTACTGAAAAGTGCAGTAAACTCAGTCAGGAGACTGGGTGCAGCCGGGCGGTGGTGGGGCCTCCCACAGCTCTCCTGGCCACTGCTGTGTGCCCCGAGCAGGACGCAGTGTTCCAGTCCCTGCCTTCACCTCTGTGTCCCTGCCTGACGTCGGGGTGGCTTTGGCTGTGACGAGCTGTCTCCACACAGGCCCAGCAGCCGTGGTCAATCATTCGTGAGCTAGAAACCCTGTCGCAAGCCGCGACGTCAGGATCCTGCCAGCAGGTCCTGAACCTGAAAGGACGAGGACAGAGAGACGGGAGGCACTTTTCTTCTCATGTTCCTTGCTTGCTTTATTACAGAACCTTTTCCTTTTATACTCTCCAGCTGCACGGGAGCGAGAGTACCGCCCACACATTCCAGAAGGAAACAATAACAACTATTATGGGTTCCTTGCAGCATGGAGCCCACTGCTCCTCAGTCACAAAAGGACAAGACCTACATCACTGTGCCTGAGCAAATGAAAGCCAGTGGCTGATCCAGGACTTCACAGCACAGAAGACCTTTCCCCTTTCCCCTTTCCCCGTGGGGTCAGAAGCTGCTGGTCTGTGGGGGGTCGCTGTGCTTCCCTGTCACTGTCACCTCCTCTCTCTGGCTCGGTTGCCCTCCACAGTCGCATCACACCAGTGGGAGGGGGCGGAGGACAAGCGGATAAGGAAGCGCACTTTAAATGAGACAGCCAGGCCGGCACCTCAACGTCCCTGGCAGGTGCACATGAGGTCAGGCCGGGACAGGTAACGTTCGTGGTGCTGAGCAGTGTCTGTCAGACCTCAGGGCTGAGCCTGGAGTGTGTGTCGGTAGGTGGTCTCCTCCACCGGGGGAGCAGGAGAGGTGTGAGCACTTGGAGCAGTGCATTTCTCATAGCTAGGAGAACTGCAAAGAGAAAATCACAGTCCAGTACAAACCTCACATCACGTGAGCTCCATGATGTTTTTACCTGTGATTTTACCTTTTCGGTCCTACTCTATAATTATGTGTATCTAAAAGGATTGGACCTGATGCTTTCCAAGCCCATGTGCAAGCGTTGTGCTTTATTTATAGACCCATAGCCTTTCATTCCACTGTATATTCTACTCACTTACAAACTTCAAAATCATATACTACACTACTGTAGAATTTTTAGTTTTTGTTTTCTTTTTGGCACCAGGGATTGAACTCAGGTCCTTGTGCGTGCGAGGCAGGTGACGGAACCACTGAGCTAGATCCCCAGCCCCTACTGTAGAATTTTTTAACAATATAAAAATAGTCTTTGATAAATGAATTCTGTTAATGAAAATGTACATTTCTTTTGCTTTATACACTCTGAGTTCATTTTTGTGCAACTCTTGACATTGCTCAATATTTTTTGACCAATAATCTTGTCTTCACTGCAGTCTTTACATCTTTGTTTCTTAATGTGTAGATGAGAGGGTTAAGGCTGGGTGTGATGATCGTGTAAAAGAGTGTGAAGAACTTTCCCTCCTCCTGGGACGTGGCATTTGGTGGCTTCATGTACATATAAATGGCTGTTCCATAAAACAGAGCTACAACGGTAAGGTGGGAACCACAGGTATTGAGGACCTTTCGCCGCCCTGTGGTTGATCTGATCCTCATCACAGCTCGAGTGATGACTCCATAGGAGATGAGAATGAGGGACAGAGGGGTGAGCAGAAATACGACTCCAAGAGCAGACACAACATACTCAATTACTTTGGAATATACACAAGCCATCCTGATCAATGCTGGCATCTCACAAAAAAAATGATCCACTTCTCGGTGCCCACATCTTGGCAATCTCAAGGTCAAGGAGCAAATAATTAAGGCACTGCCAAGGCCACCCAGCCAGCAGGTCAGCACCATCTTCCGACAGAGCTGAGGGTGCATTATGACCGTGTAGTGCAGAGGCTGACAGACAGCAGCGTAGCGGTCGTAGGCCATCACGGCCAGCAGAAGACACTCCGTGGCTCCCAGGACCAGGGCAGAGAAGAACTGCAGCACACACCCTGCGTAGGTAATGGACTTGCTCGGACCCCACAGGTTCACCAGCATCTGGGGGACGATGCTCGTTGTGTAACAGAGATCCAGAAAAGACAGATTAGACAAGAAGAAATACATGGGGGTGTGGAGCTGGACATCTAGGTGAGACACAAGTATGATGGCTGAGTTTCCTAGCAGAGCCACCATATAGAAGAGGAAGACAAGCACAGCGATGATGGGCTCCAGTTGAGGTCGACCGGAAAACCCCAGCAGGATGAAGTCTGTCCCCAGACTTCCATTGCTTCTTTCCACTGCTCCCCATGGAAGCCTAGGAGGCGACGCCATGGGAACAAACAACGCCAGCCCTCGATGTACAGGACGACTGGTGATGCGCATTTCCCATGCACAGCACCTACGTGTTTTCTCCTGTTGCATGGCTTCAATTCCTCTCCTCGGCGCCTCCACCCTCCCTACATTGACTCATTTCCAAAGTGATGCATCCTACTGAGTGTGTGTTGTTGCAAAGGCTAAGGGTCCCATGTCCTCTGGTTCTGTGTGTGTCGTTCGATTACAGAGCCATGAAGTCTACTCCAGGGATTTCAGAGCTGGATGTATTGTCAGGAACGTTTCCTCTTCCAAACGGAGACGCTGTTTATTACTTTAAGTTTGTCTAACCCTTAAAAGGTACGAGGATGTTTATGTCCAGAAAATGTGCACGTGTACCAAGTTCCAGCTGAGGTAGGGACCTCAGGAGCAGGCGACATCCTAAGTCCCCCAATGCTTTGATCACCCACACACCAGGCTGTGTTCATCCTTTCACGTTGGGATGGTGTGGTGATCTCAGAGCCATGAATTTTAAAGGCCCGAGTCCTGCACTGTCCTCCCAGAGGGCCCTTCCAGGGGGGATTCACGCCACGCCTGATTCATATCCACGGTGGCAGGGAAGTGAGCTGCACAGGGAGCAGCCACACTGCAGAACCGGTGCTCTTCCTGCCCTGTGCCTGGAGCATCTGCCTCCTCACAGCCAGGCACTGGCCCCCTCTTTTCTTCTGAAACAACAGAGGAAGTCAGTTCCACGCGTCTTCATTTTTAAAAAAACCCATCAAGTGCCACTGTTAGTATGAAATCAACACAGACTCACAAACAAAAGTAGAAGTTGGGAGATGTAGGAGACTGCTCTTGGAACTGTCATGCGAGTCAAGAAACAGTGCTGCCAGCTGCCCCTCGGGCCTCTCCTTGAGCCTCACGCACGGAGCCCCTCCCTGCCCCAGGTTCCCCTGTCCCATGCTCATAGTAACAACCTCCAGCACCGGAACATTTCAAAACCCAAATGCACTTCTCTCTAAAATACTGTTTGTATCAGCTCATTTGAAAAGTTGCGAGTGTCCTTTGTCTCTTAACAACATTCGACTTTGTTATGAAAGACACTCCTTTTTTAACCTTTCTTTGTTGTTGTTGTTGTTCTGGTAGTCGTGCAGATTGAACCAAGGGCCTCACACATGGGAGGGAAGAGCTCTCTCTCTCTCTCTCTCTCTCTATCTCTCTATCTCTCTCTCTCTCAGGTGTTTGCACAGTGCCTTGAATGTTTCATTTGGAGACCAGGTCACACTTCGTGGTGTAGTCGTGGGCCACCATGCATGACTTTGAGTTTCCCTTCCCATCCAGGCCCCTGCTCGACTTCTCCTGACACTGCCTGGTCTCCATTCCCATGCCAGAGCCTGGACTGTGTATCAAGACCAGCTGTACCTGTGTTATAATCACCCTTGGCCCCTCCTCACCTTGCAGATCTGAGGTAGCTGAGGAAATGCCATGAGCCTCTCTTTCCCACCCGCGAATCTGTCATCCAGGGAGAATCTGCTTTGTGGGATGGAAGCCAGCAGCGTTACCCGATACGGTAAACTCAAGTGTACATCACGATGCTAGTTGCATGGAGCTCATTCAGACATCTGAAAACTCACTAACAGTGCTTGTTGGATTTAATCCTCTCTGGCAAGTGCATCAGTACCTCAGTATTATTTATATCTCACCCCCCAGTCCCAGTTTTGTTTCGTGTCTGACTGAGGCGTTCCCTGTCTCCGACCTGTTGCCACCCTGCATCTTCTGCTGGAGACATCAGGGAAACTCACCAGAAGCCAGAAAGTTGGCTGGGGCACGTCCGAGCCTCCAGCTCCACACAGAGCACACAGCCCTGTCCTTTCAGGAGCAGGGCCGTCCTGGGGTCAGGCAGGAAGAGCTCTCATGGTGCGAATTCCTGAAGCCCCAGGAGGCACTGACCAGCAGTGTTGCACTCTGTGCCCACCCCACTCGCGCTGCAGTGCAACAGGGCACCTGGGAGTGAACGCAACTCACTGCTCAGCTCACACGCTGCAGAAAAGTGAGTCATGGAACTGGTGAAGACCGTGAAATAAATTGTGCAAGTGTATTTTTGGCTTGCTCTTTGTAATCTTTAGTGCACCGTTTTGTTGCTTGTATTTATAGATACCTTTTTCCTAATTAAGGAGATGGCACCACGCTGGGTTCTGGGTATTCCCCGAGAGGCCAACAGGCAGAGAGCAGGTGTCCGTGCAGCTCTGCAGCTGCCCACGTTGGTGCGGCTCAGCCCTGGGGGCCAGGGCCACGCAGAGGTGAGCAAGGAGTGCAGGCCCTGGGCAGGGCTTGTTCACGTGCCAGGGTCATGGACGGGCCTCTGAGACATCAGAGCTGTTATTCTCTGCGTCCTTTTAGATTTCTGTGATGCAAATTAATTTCAGAAATGACTTTCATATGAAATTAAATTCATAAAAGTTGAAAATGTCAACCTTACCTAGGAAAGTAACATTTTCCCTTGAAATTAGTTTATTCGGAGGGTAGTGTATTAGCTAAAAGGAAATAGTAAGCTCTCCAGATAAGCATGTATGGGACAAAAATATTTGCTTTTTAATAAATGAATGCAATAATCATAATTCTAGATTCATAACCATATGATCACTGTTCCACTTTCAGTGAAATATAAACATGGAAACTATTGAATTTAGCATTCATTAGAAGTTTGAAATTGACCAAAACTCAGCCCTATCTGTATGATTTTCCATTATTCCCCTCTTTCTGGCTACACTGGAGAGTCGTAGTCCTGAATTTGTGTTTTCCTTTTTAACTTGCTTTCATTAGTACCTCTTTGGGACACATGATGAAGACGTTCATCCGGGGATGTGGTACACACGGGCCGGGCTGAAGACATTTATGCCCCTCCCCTTCTCCCTGCATCTCATCAGCCTCCCCCGGTTCCCCTCCTGTCTCCGCAACGTCAACGTCTGTGCTTCCTGTCATCTCTCTTCTATTTCATCTTGAAAGATTGTATGCGTTGTGTTTCTTCTATAGGAGAAGCCATGCAATATTGAAACTTCTGTGTCAGATTTATTTTACTTAGCTACGGTCGCAAGGTGCATTTCCACAAATGACTCTAATTTATTTCTGTTTATGCCACTGTAGTACTTAATTGTGTATGTATACCACACTTTCCTTATCTGTCCACCCATGATGGGGTGTCTTCCAACGTCAGCCATTGTGAGCAGTGTTTCTGTAAACGTGGTTGAGTACATATCACTGCAAAAGCTGACCAATACGGTCCACGGAAGTGTTGTGCAGGAAACAGTAGGGTGGAGAGAGGTGATGTGAACAGGCTTCTAGCAACAGGGGTAGATGTTGTTCTAGCAGGAACAGCTCATAGATCGATAGGAATTTTGTTTTTCCCACAGGTTAATTTCTGTCTGTAGCAGTTTTGTGCAGCAGTCATGCTGCCCTTAGCTGCAGTATTATCTTTCCATCCAAGACATCACAATGTCACAGATGGAGACCTTCTCTGTGACCACTTTTGTGGGGAGTTGTTCTGTTCCCACGGGCCAACAGTGGGGTCCTCAGGAAAGCCAGTGTGAGGAAATAAGCAGGCTAAACTTGGACTATGAAAAGCTGATTTATGAATTTGCAGCACTCATAATGTTTTCTATCAACTATGAATGTATTTATTCCTGAAAAAATGCAAAAAATTGCTTCTTCGGATGATATTCTTATTACTTGTCTTTCACAAAGGAAATCTCTTACCTGGGAAAGGTTTTCCCACAAAAGGTAGTTTGCAAGCCATTTTGAACATACTTATTTTAGAAGCAATAGGTAGCATGATTGTTAGGTTCACGTACCAGTCTGCACAGTGTTGTTTCACTGACTCTGAGGTGGAAAAGTTCCACTTACTGTTGATCCTCTGAACTCTGACCCAGATTGTTTGCAAGAAGGATAAAAGGAGAAGCTTCTCTTCCTCCTGGTGGCAGCACAGCCACTGGCCCCTTTCAGCATGGGGAGTAGATCCAATCCTGTGTCTCCTCCTCCTGTCCTCTGCACACCCTACCCCCTGCCTGCCCCAAGCAACTCTTATTTTGGGCCCTTATGGGTTTTTTCATAATAAAAGTTATCTGTCTCTATTCAGTATTTTCCTTCTAATTGCCATAATCAATTTGATTACTCTCCAACTACTGTGGATATTTTACTTTTCAGGAAACCAATTAGGTATTGCATAAACCCAGAATGAGATACTCAACTTCTGCTCCAATGCCTGCTTTTAGGAGCCATGAAGAAATGTTCTCAGAGTTGCCTTCCTCTGCCCCTTAACAATCCTCGTGTGGTCAGAGCAGCAACTAGGTGTCCTGTAATATATATACAATGCTTTCACTTCCGGTTTTGGTATGAGCTTGGGATTTGAAAATCTGTGAGTTTCCACTCAAGGCAAATTTAGTCTATGAGCAGAGGCTGAAAGTGCACATGAATCGAGTAACGTGGCTCAGTCTGCTCTTGAAATCTGTTTTATTCTCCATCCCGTTGGTGTGCACTTGCTGTCACTTGAGAGGAATGAATATAATTCATGCAACCCTTCTGTAAGCAAAGAGCAAAGAGAAGCAGTAGGCTTGTGCCACACCACTGGGAAGAGAGTGCCTATGTGTGCTGCATCCCAAAATAGGTCATTTATAGTACATGTGACTTCACTGTTCCTATGTTTTCATTTCTTCTCTCCAGCTTAAAAAGCGGGAAGTACGACCATCACAGAAAAGACACTCTCTGCTCTATATTCTGTTGTTGAAGGATATCTGTAAACATGGCATAAAGTCCAGAAGAGAGGAGACACCTCTGAAACATTTTCTAAGAGATACTGTAGCTTCCAAAAAGAAACACTGAAGACGTATGAACAGACACTGACTTACGTCATGGGATATTTGGCCCAGCGCCTCAAGGACAAAGACCCGACCTGGAGCAGCTTTGCGAGTGATCATCCCTCACAGGAGGGGCCTGGTCGTCAGTGACAGCAGAACCCAGGGGATGATGGTCGTGGGATGGACCTGGAGGAGCACTTACATGGTAGTTAAAGCACAAAACCGCAACCGCTAAAACGACGAGTAAAATTAATGAGGTTTTATGAATAGTGAAATGATTCCGTTTCTGTTACTGTAGGGGGTTTTTGTCGCTGTTAATATCTGCTTTTAAATTGTTGTCTCCAGGCTGCTCACAGTATGGAATCTATTTGTTCACTGGAATTTAACCCCGAAAAACCTGCAATTAGAGCAATGTTTAAGTCATAAAGCTCATGGATTCAACCTGGAGAAGAAGAATCACAGCAACACAGTCTCAAATTCCCACTCACTTAAAGATTTGAGGAGATAGCCTGGTTCTTTAGATTGGGCACTAGACTGAAATAAAAAATTTAGATATTATTTCTAAAGTTTTGATTGTATTTTTTGGAGTACAGTTAGTTGCAAATCATTCTTCGGTGTGTGTATGTACTTTTATGACTAGAGAGTTGTCTAGTCAGTTTCCAGGATTCCTACCTTATCTGGATGCCCAGAGCATTACACTTGCATTCATCTGCTGAGTGTCTATTTTTCAGTTTGAAGTAGCCTGAAATTTCTACAACATCTTCTAAAGGCAAAGAAAAACACATGACAAAAATCAGTTCTATGGCGTTGTGAGAACTGTGGATATTTCTGTATTCATGCTTTTGGGACCAAGCAGAGAGATGCTGCCCTCCGGTCGTGGGCACATTAGGGCCAGGCTGACAAAGCACCATCATGGGCTAACATGGGAGTTCACGGTTTCACGCTCAGAAAACAAAGGGCCATTTCCACATGCGGATAATTAGAAACACATAAAAAGCTGATTGAAGTAGAGGGGGAGCTAGGAAGGGGCTCTCGCAGAGCTAACAAGCATGACAAAGCTCTGTGAGAACTTTAAGAGCAGGGGGACACTGAAGCTCCGTGACTGCAGGGGACAGGGCGCGCATGGATCCTGGAATCGGAAGACACAACCTTAGCGCAGGGACTTGGAAGGAGCCCTCGCTTCGGGGAGGAACACGGAGCCAGGAATGAGGATGGGTAACTCTTTCTCCGCAGATGCTCCGATCAGGGGCTGGTGCCCACCGATGGTTCAGCTCAAGCGGAGGGAGAGAGTGAGGGAGTCAGGTGGACGTGGTCTTCTTCAATTCTCTGCCGAGTCCAAGCACCAAACAGAAAATGAGGAGGATTTCCTCAGAAACGGAGGCCATTGGTGTGTTGTCAGCCGTCCACCGCTTAACAAGGCCTGAGATGATCGACTTCTACAAAGAAAAGGTGCACGCGGGCTCATCCTTTTGGGGTTTCTAGCTCACGAATGATTGACCACGGCTGCTGGGCCTGTGTGGAGACAGCACATCGCAGCCAAAGCCACCCCGACGTCAGGCAGGGACACAGAGGCGAAGGCAGGGACTGGAACACCGCGTCCTGCTCGGGGCACACAGCAGTGGCCAGGAGAGCTGTGGGAGGCCCCACCACCGCCCGGCTGCACCCAGTCTCCTGACTGAGTTTATTGCACTTTTCAGTACACGGGACAGTTCCTTCGTCGCTGGGATCTGATACTTTACACACAAATCTTGGCTCTCGTGTTGTCCCCATGCCCTCATCTCCCCTTCACCCCCTTCCCCTCCACTATTTACAAAGACCTTGTTTCCATGTTTCCCTTTTCTCATATTTTTTTCTTTCCCTTATTTCCCTTTCCCTACTCTTCCTACTTCCCCTACATGTTTAGCCCTTTTCTTCCAATTTCACACGGTCAGTTATAAAATTCGAAGCTTATTTAGAACTTTAATTTCTCACACCAGAGAAACTATTCGCTATTTCTCTTATTCTGGGAAAGAGATTGTGTAAAATTGTCATTAATTCTGGGACTGAAAACTCTACATCGTAGTGTCCATTTCTACCGTACCTCCAAATTTTATGGGACTATTCAGATGATCTAATTTTGTTTCTGCAGTTAGTAGAGCATGTACTTTTGATTGGGTTGTACTTCTTTGGAACTGGAAGAAATCCCTCCATTACTCTAAGCTGCTGAGCTCATCAACTTTGTAGTATTTCCCTGCTGGTACAGTATGGACAGGCTCTGGGTGAGCCCCCAGGCTTCATGTGATTGAGGCTCAGTGGCAGTGGAGGACATTGTTGGATGTTAAGAGTTGGGGCCTCGTGGAGGTCCTTAGGTTGTCACGGGTGTGAGGTGTTTCTCACTTGAAAGGAGGAAGGGGTGGAGAAGAAAAACGGCTAAACTGACCATCTGCTCTGCCTGCTGTGACCCTGAGCTGCTGTAGAGGAGAGGAACGTATTCAATGGGCAAATGCTCGATGGACTCAGAGCTTGAGGGAACCGGACTTATCAGGTGCAGAGTGAGGAGCGCACAGGGAGTGTTTCCAAGACGACGCTCATGAGATGGGACTGCAGGGTACGTGTGTGAGCACAGCCGTGAGAGCAATACAAAGCCGTCGTGCTTGAGTCCCAAGTTGCAGTGGTTCAGTAAATCTCACGCCACGGAGGGCAATAGCGGTTACAACAGAACCAGTATTGTCTGTCCAAATACTGTGAATGTCGGCCCGTAGGATGTGGCAGCTTTCCCAGAGTCCTCAGAATTCATTCTTCCCTATAGCATAAGTAGAATGACTAATAGCAATCTACAGCTGGACCTCGTGACTTTCCCTGCATTAATTTGCTACACTTCTGAAGAGTATTGCTAGTTGTCTTATCTGCAAGGCTGGTTTCTTTCATTCCTGATGAATTTTGGCAGGAATTGCTCACAGTGGTATAGCATTTACTTTGGTGTTCGACTGAGTATGGAGAAGCAGTTTTCATAATTAACTTTTAAGAGTATGACAGTCTTAAGGATTCAGTTGCTAATTTTTTAATAAGAGACATCTTACACTTTTACATCCAATTCTGCATCAAAAAGCAAAAAAGAAAAACTAGAAGTTTCATAAGAAATAGCTAATTAAGAAACATCTCAGAAACACAGCAATGAGTAGGGGCTTAGCAGCTCCCACGATAGATGACTTGGCCCTGGAGGAAGGTGAAGTATTTGTGAATCCTATGGACATCCTTGTTCAGGCAGAGAAACATGTAGTAAAATGATAACCAGCGAGATTTTTCAGTAGTTGACTGTAGAGAAGCAACTTCTATCCCGGCAGCGGAGTCCACGGTGTCTGTGGCTGCAGGAACAAACTAGGCACCAAAAGGACACTCATTAGTCACTCACACCATTCGTACTTGTTTGTCCTTGCTCCTTTCAATTCTGCAATCGTGGTGGTGGGAAGAGATAGTAATGTAACACATCACCCCAAAACCATTTTTTATCTCCCTGGCCGGGGCATCCTAAACGAGTTAATCACCTGAGAGCGAGAAGCAGAACCCAGCTCTGCTTTTCTGACAGACGAGTGATCGCTGGTGAACTATGAACCTGCAGGAGTGGAGGGCGGAGACCCAGCACCTTGCACGGATCTGACCAGGACGGCAGAGAAGCCCACCTAGGGAACTCTGTATTTCCTCAATCTTGTCTCGGATGCACCCTTTGAATTTTATTTCTTCTGATGGTTTACCGTCTATCTTTTTGTTCCTTTCAACTGAATCTATTCTCCATGTTGTTTCTGTCACAAAAACCACAGACATCATGAGTACTGGCCTCGGTGTTTAAGATGCAGACAGTGAAGTCAGGGCTCCCCCAAAGGTCAGGAGTTTCTCATGCGCTCCAGGAATTTGTTCTTGCAGTACTCCATGGGGAGAATCTGTGTTTTACTTTATTTTATCTTTGCATCCCTGTGTTGGGAGTCCATGGAAAAGCACCGACGGGAAGGCGAGTCTGGGATCAAACCTCCATGGTGAGGGTGGTGGATGGATCGAGGGTGAGGCTGTGCTTCAGAAAAGTGCTGTCAAGGCCCGAGAGGGAGCCTGTGTCCCTGAGCTCTCAGCCAGCCTCACCAGCCGGGAGAACCTGCACATGGAGACCAGGGAGCACTGCGCTGCCTCTGACAATCTCAGCTGACTGTCAGAGCTGCTAGATCCAACCTGGGTCGCTGTAGCCCTGATCTGCTGAACTTCCTCCTAAAGAGAAGATCATCTTCCTGGAGTGAAGTGTGCACTGTATTTGGTATTGGACTTTCTGCTTGTACTCTCTTCCTTTGGTGCTTGAGCCCTAAGGGAAGATTTCCTGTGCAAAGGGCTATGATATGAACAGGAATAAATACATGGTGGGGAGAAGATACAGAAAATGAGCCATGAGGAAACAAATTAGCAACCTTAGCGATGAAGATGAAAACTTGAAAACTAGGGTGCTTCTCTCCTGTGGGCCTGACATGATGTGTTCTTTGTATTTCTGTTGGAGGTAGATCCATCCCGTGAGAATGACATAAATGACACACGTTACCATGTGTTTAAGACACAAAAGGAAAACTATAAAATCCCTTACGAATTCTGTAATTATATAGTTATCTTTAGGAGAAACATGATTTCTGAGAATTCAGCAAGCGGCTTATTTGTTACCTCACTAATGTTGAAAATCTCACATCTGAATGGCTGTTAACATTGAAAATGTCAGTTTTCTCTGGGGAAGACTATTCGGGAAGAGGGAATGTACTGAAATGAATTTTCATTTAGGAACAGTAAGGAAAACACATTGTGTATAACATCCTACAAATGACACAAGGGAAGCTTTCCGGGGAGGCGCGGGTCTTCCGCTCTAACTTGGCGTTCAAGGGCAGTGTTACTACTACGGCCTCTCAGCGTCCTCAGAGCAGGGCAGCGCTGAGGGAGCCATCCAGTCTGGCTCTGCTGTTCTCCCTTCCCACCCTAGCTCTCTGGTGTGAAGGGCAGAGGCAAAGAATGTGGCCGAACTTCAGTGTGGGTGTCCTGGGATAAGAGGGAAGAGTGCTCGGGTGCTCCCCTCCGATTTTCTTTCCAAGGAAACTGTTGAACCACCAGGCCCATGCAGGTGCGAGTCCTGGTGTCCTCGTGGACAGAGCAAGGAGGGCAGCGACCGTCCACAGCGTCGCACCCTGGGACTCACTGACCTTAGTGTTTTCACTGTGGAATACCACATCGCCGCCCTGTTCACTCTCGGGCTGTGAGCTCAACATGCACACTAAATGGTGTTCTTGCCAGTAAGGGGTTCGAAACACCTCCCACACAGCAGAACCTCCTTAAAGAGAAAACAGGAAAGCACTGGAAGGCAACGCACCTGACTGGCTAACTTCTGCAGGGTTCCTTGAAGTTGGTTGCTTTTCGTCACAGCATGGATTGTTTTGTTCTCGAGTGCCGTGGGAAATCCTGTCAGATGACTGGCTTCAATTTGAAAGTGGTAGAGGGGTTCATTCCAGGACTGCAGCATCCTGATGATCAGCTTGACGATGTCTTGTGACTAAGCAGCCACATCAAGGCAATCACATTAAAACAAATGAGATGAAGCTGGTTAATTACATCTAATTAAATGTAAATAACTTTTTCTGATAACCTGACCTTATGTATATGTCATTCCTGAGATTACATAAAATTGTTTGTGGATGACACACCTGGGAGAGGTGTAGTATTTAAACACCTCGCCCATTCCTTACTACCCTAATTCAAGCAAACACACCGAACTAGCTAATGGAAAGAACTAGTTTCTCGATGCGTGTTCTCAGAGATGAAAACTGATATTATTTTCTTCCTGAATTTCTATCTCTTCATTTAAAATCGTGTTAAGACACTGCTTATGGCCGGGAATTAGAAGAGAGAGAATGTAAGAGTAACAATTGAGAACTCGGCCCAGTGATGGGGGCTGGGTACGCAGCCTTGGTTGTGACTGGAGCCGAGGCCAGCGTTGCTGCCATCAGAAACGTGGCGAAAGATTCACTGGCCGCGCGTAGGGTCGCGGCTTTCCGTGTAGACAGAGAAAGCAGCCAAGTGAGAGAAGAGGGAGAAAGTAGAGCCTGAGGCTGAGGTCAGGCAGATTTCGGGGAAAAGCTGCTGTGCAGGGGCCCCGGTGAGCCGAGTACACCAGTCTGCACCTGCTGGCCTCACAAACACGCACGCGTGTGCAGCGCAGCTCCGACTCTGCCCGCTACGAAGGCCGCAGGGCTAAGTGAGAAGCAGGTCGGAAACAGCATCATCAGCCTGGTCAGTGAGTGCGTCTGGCCCTGCTCCATCGAACAGCTGATTTTTCGAGAGGGGCTCACCTGCATCTGCAGGAGCTGGTTCTCCTCAGCCGGGGTGGAGATGGAGTATGTGTGGCAGTTACTCCAGTTTCGCATGATGAAGAGTGAGCCAGGGAAATAATGGTTATGCTGGAAATGGTTAAACAATCAGCTGTTTCGCGGGCTGTGGCCGGCACCTCCAGGCCGGGCCTGTGCTGTGCTTGTGGAGCTGGCCGAGGGGCTCACCTGCATCTGCAGGAGCTGGTTCTCCTCAGCCGGGATGGAGGTGGAGTATGTGTGGCAGTTACTCCAGTTTCGCATGATGAAGAGTGAGCCAGGGAAATAATGGTTATGCTGGAAATGGTTAAAATCAATCAGCTGGGCTTTAGGAACGGAAAAGAAGTCATGCCTTACCAGAACACTAATGCAGTGGATACAAGCGTGATTTTTTTCAAAAAGGAGAATTCCACAGAAACTGAAAGTGAAGAATCACGAAAGTAACTAACACTTTTTGTATTTTCTCCATTAACACTAAATCAAAACCTTTTACAGCTCACTTTTCATCTAATTGTGTCCCCTTCTAATTGTTGCTATGCCTTTGTTTTCTCACTCTTGCTCCAGGTTACTGTTTGGAAGAAAAGTGCCATCTAGCAGACTAAAACCAGCAAATCCGTAGAACTATTAGTGTGTTAAGTATTATTGTTTCTAGTATTTGAGCCAAATGCAGGATGCATGGGCATCTGAGTTTATCTGTCTAGCTCTTGTTTCCTGTGGGTGCAGATAGATAGTTTCCCTTAAGGAGCTATTATTATAGGCAGCTGTGTTAGGTAGTCTCCTAGGGCTAGGTACTCAATGGCGTCAGGACAGGGGTGAAACGCTCCACAGCTGGGGCCACAGACACATCAGTTGGAGGCCGGGCCTCAAGATAAAGCCAAGACGACCAGACCTAATACTTCCTCAAGGAGAAACACTGGCCCTAATGAAGTCTGCATAGCCGACAGCCAACCCTGTGGCTCTGTGACCAGAGACCTCTGGACCCACCATTTCCTAGGGGAAGCCTTTGTCCCCCTGCGTGTGTCCAATTGTCATGTGACTTGTTTCCCAATTAGCCACTATTACCCGATAGCTGTACCTGGAACCTTACTGACTGATCCTGGCTGTGGCCCACATTTTGCCCATGTGGGCTGTGGTCTATAAAACTCCCCTGTAGAGTAGAGTCCCTGCTGCCCACTTGGGTCCCCTCCTACCTACCAGGATCTTTCCTATCAAAAATACCTTCCTACCCTTAACCTCCGTTTTTGCTAGAATTCATTCTTTGATTCTTAGAGAACACAAGTTAGGCATATCAGACAGCTAACAGGTTGGGAGGAAATATAATATTTCATGGTTAATCTCTGATATCATTTCCAGTATCATTATGATTTATTTCCCCTCAAAATTTTACTTACCTCAAGTTGAAGTTAAAACGGGTATTATCACAGATCTGGTCTAACGCTTCCTTAATCACCTCCTAGTCCTCACACCCATCTCTTCAGATAAATTCAGAATATGAAGTTGTTGTTGCGAAAAAATGGTTCATAATGCAGGGCAAAACATTTTAGGAAATTCTAAGTAATGGATCGAGGTTGAAAAGAAAAAGAAGTGCAGAGGCTGGTATTAGACTAAACTTGCAGAACTTTAACACGACCACTCGGCCAATTTGAAATGTAAATGGTGGCCAGTTGGAAATGAGGAATGCACGAAACAGGAGCTAGGGAGAAGAGAAGCGCGAGCATCCGCCTTTATTACACACCGGGCTCTTGGTCTGCACAGAGACCCTTGGTGATCAGAATCCCTAACCCTTGGCTACTCCTTTGTTGGCAGAGAAGAGACGGGAGACAACATTCAGGGCAACTTTGGTAGGAGAAGACAACTGTTTCCTCTTCTGCACCAGCCCTCTGTTGTAACTACAAACTGCACGGGTAATCTTACAACAAGGATGCCTAGCACTTTGGGGCTCTTGAAAGCTGTTTATTTCAGGATTTCCCCTCTGGCATGAATTTAGTTTCATTTCTTCAGCCCTGCAAACTGACTGGAATGCTGTTATCAGTGCTGGGGCATCTGCAGCCTGCTGGGTGGAGAATGCCCATTGCTGGCCCCTGCATGCAACAAGGGGTCAGTGCTGTCCCTCAGTACCACTGAAAGGTGACTTATGTCAGGAACTAAAATTTCTAAACATTCAGAGAATTAAGGGGAAGTTTTAAACATGTATTACATCCTTTGACAATCTGAGATTTCATGAAATTTTCTTTTTTGTCTTTTTCTCCTTGTTCCCCTTTGCGGGGGGGCTTATGCTTTCTTTGAACTATTAAATTTGAACTATCAAACTTAGGATTTTATATTTGATAAATGTGTTGTGTTTAAACTGTAATGCAGCCCACTTGTTGGTGGGATCACTCCTTTGGGGAAAAGGAAAAAAGTGAGGTACTTACAAATTCCAAGAACAGTCCTAAGGAATAGTTCCTCAGGTTCTGAAACTGGTTGAAGGCCTTGTCCATCAGGCACAGGCAACACACCCAGCATGAGGAGTCCTCAGGGCAGTTGGTCTGGGAGGCCACATTCTTCCAAAGGAGCAGGCCAGACAGGAGCAGGAGCAGCAGGAGGGAGCCTGCTCAGGAAAACACCACCCACTGTGAGATGATCTGTTTAGCTGAAGTGACCCACAGTCATCCTGCTGAGGGGAACACAAACCTTGGCTCTCTGCTGACATCATGCGTATTTTGGTGCAGGAAGAGCTGGGATGGGGAAAAATAACACCTTGCCCTGTGCCCCCTTAGACATATAATTACATCTGCCCAGATAGAAGCTTGAGAAGTGTGGTTTCCTGCATATTTTTTATTGCTACCAGAGTGCTTCTGTTCTTTGCAAAATTTAGAGCTCAAATTAGCTCTCCTCTGGGTGTTTTAAATCATTGTTTTAGTGTAGTTTAATGGTTTGGGGCTTTCTTTAGATTTGTAGGCAGTCAGACTTTCTAGAGATTGGAGTTTTTAACTCACTTTCTGAGATTTGCACTTTGGAAGCGGATATAACAAGAGCAGCACAGTTAACCCGTTCATCTTCATGGGAATAAGGGCGCGTGATTTGCTTGGTTGCTCACACTGAGCAGGCAGAGAATCCCGTCATAGAACTGATGCCACACGTGGACCTGCTAGCTCACGGCAACAACCCACTGCCTTTGCCTGAGAGTGGGTCCAAAGTTGTTGTATTGTTCTCTGACTCGGACCTGTGCATTAGTTCTGGGAGAGCCCGGGGCCCTTGTGTCCCTCACCACCTTATACCGCAGGGTCCTGAGGCTCAGGGTGCTCGGGTGATTTCCCCCAAGGCCCGGTGCAGCGGGGGAGGCAGAACCCTGATGCTCCAGTCTCGCCCCTGGCAGGGTGGTTCAGGGCCGGGCTCTGGGCTCTCCCTTGGCCTCTGTCAGCGGGGCCCCCGTCAGCAGTCACGGGGACAGGGACAGCAGAGGGCTTCCAGTGTGTGAGGAGAGCAGCGCTTGGGCTTGAGTTGCAGGGTACTAAGGCCCGCGCAGCCTGATTTTATTCACTTTGTCTGCTCTATAAATTTCCCTCATTAAAAATCGGTGACCGATGGAGGATGGCTTCGTGAATGTCTTATTTCAGTAGATGGAAAACAGAGCCCTCAACTGTGAATGATTTACACTCACAGAAAGAAACAGCATGCAGCTTCCAAATTAAAATTGGCTTCTACTTTCAGTGACACTGCTCCAGAACAATTTCTGATGTGACAATGTGACGATCAAATGACTAAGCTCCATAGAAACTTTGGTAAAAATCTCCAAGGTAAAAATAAACAGTAAAGATTTTTTTTTGAGACAGGGTCTTCTTTTGTAGTACAAGATACCCTCGAACTCTTGAGGATCCTCTTGTCTCGGCCTCCCTTGTTATAGGGTTAAGATGTGCATCACTACACCCAAGAACACATTTCAGATTTCTATATAAAAAAATTCCTAAACACAAATACCTTAAATAACTAAACACAACTAAAAATTATTATTGTACAATGTAGCTACATAACATACTGATTACAAATTTAAAATAATATGTTATATATTTTTTTAATTTCCAAAAATGTGATAATTCAACAAGTTTCCTTTTTGCGTTATAGTGAGATCGCATCGCCAAAATGGTGACAGTAGGCACATGTGTAGAAGAAGTATGCTGTCCAAACGGAGCTCAGGGAATTCATGTCCACAGATGTTCTCACCTCAGCCCACTCCCCTGCACATTTGTTATCTAAGTGATTCTCACAGTGTAAGAGGGGATAAAACAGATAGAAGCCTTGCTGATTATATCATTAAAAGTGTTGCGATTGTTGCTAATTTATTATTCTTGCAAATACCATGAAGAAAGCATAGGTAACTGGTCAGACCTGTTTTTCCTTTCGAAGTCATTTGGCTGGAACCACATAGGCAGAGCAGTTAAAGATACACATCTGAGAGACCACATGGCTGACGAGAGAAGGAGCCACGTTGGACCTACTCAGAGAAAAGAAAGCAACTCTAAACAGGTGAGTGGAAGATGGACATACATCCCGATGCCAAAATCAATCTGAAGTAACAAATCAGTGGATCAAATAAAACCACAGGACTTCATCCAACAGTGCATCAGGCCGCAGGGCTACCAGTGGTGTGGGCAGCATTCAGCAAGAATCCCTACACTGCAAGTCCCCAAAAAACTGTTGGACTGAAAAGGTGCAACTAACTCAGGCCCCACAGGATAGAATGGAGGGTAAAAAAAGCCCTCTGGCCTATTTTGGTTTCCTCCACACAAAAGATGCTATAGCCAGCAGCAAATTTCGTTGGCAAACTCAGAATCAAGCAACCAGAAACAACCTACTCCTTCCCTGAGACACAGACCACCAGTTCCTTTTTCTTTTTCATTCTTTCCCTCTGCTTGGTAATCAAGAAGTGAGGGACTTCAGTGCTTCAGGAGTGGAGAAAGGACTGGCGACCACTGGCTTGAGAGAAAGATGCAGAAGCCTACGTGGGAATTAAACTCACTGCAGGAGCCTGGAGCCAAACCTAACAGCTCAGACTGTATTCCCAGCATCAGCAGCACCCACTGTCCCGCCCCCACCCTGTGAGGAACACTGGCCCTGCACAGAGAAGTGCCAGCAAGGGGTGAGGCCAAAGAAGCTGTGCGAAGGCCAAGTGGAGCCACGTGTGCACGGGAAAGGGAGCAGCCTCACACTGCCCCTGCCTGAGGACAGCACAGCGAGCCACAGTAAGGAGGCTGGGTAGGGGGACATCCATAAAGCTTCTGGCCAAGGACCTGCCCAGTTCCCAAGAGATCACTCCCACAGCCAGCACAAACCCAATGTAGACTTTGCAGGGGTGTACAGCACAGTCCGGGGACACTATCTGCCTTGGACATTACCACAGAATTGTGCACTGCAGAGGAATATTTTTCTCTGTGCTGGTTGAGTTTCCTTTACTCTGAATTTTCTCTCTTTATTATTTAGGGTTTCACCTTTAGTTCTACCTTGTTCTATTTATCTTCTTTCTCGCTTTCCTAACTATCTCACTTGAGTTTATGATATTTTCATGTGTGTGAAAATCATCTCTTGTCTTTGTGCTTCACTCTTACAATCTTTTTTTTTTTTTTCTGTCTTTCTTGCTTTCTCTCCTGTCCTCTCCTCCAATCTCCCAAAGCTTGGGAAGTAAGTCATCTGCTGTCCTTCAGCCTTGCCCTACTACATTTCCCTTCATTTGTCTCTCTGTTTTGCCCCCTCTCTCTTAAATCCCCCCTGATGGGGGTAAAATCACTCTACTAAGGGGAAACATTGCAGACAAGCTCCTGGTTTATGTTAGATTGTGTTATATAAGTACAGATCTTGCTCATATGGTTAAAGGTACCAAATTAATACCACACCGTGTCCATTTCTAGGCTGTGCTTGCTGCTATTGATATTGCTAATTGTACCAATTTACCCAGGATGTCCTGCCTGTTGCAATCAGCTGTTCTCCCTTGCTATGACAACACTGCAATTATCTGGTGCCATAACCATCATCACAGTCCAGTACCAAAAACTGGGACGAAAAGCTGAGACAAATAAATACCAAATACCAATCCTTAAGAAACTGGGGAGGCAGGACCTTGAGATAGACACAAAGACCAAGAGCCACATCCACCCAGAGGACATCTCTGAGGAACAGAGATGTCCTAGGGAAGTCTCAGCAGTACTGACAGAGCTATCTGCTATAAGAAATTTACAACCATCAACTCAGAAAACAACAACAAAAAAAGGAAATCCATGAAATAGATTCAAACAGACATCCAGGAGATTAAAGTTTCATTGAGAATGTACACAGTAGACTGAATGGAGGTGAGCACAGAATTTCTGATCTAGAAGGCAGGAGTTATACAACAGCAATATACACTCACCCACATTTACAGCAGAATAGTTTGTAATAGCTGAAATTTTGAAACAGCCCAATTACCCATTAACTGGAGACTAGATAAACAAAAACTTTTTTACATAAAATGGAGTACTAGTCAGCCATAAAGAAAAAAAACTGGAGATATTTATACCTAAATGGTTGCACATTGAGGCCATACTCTTAAGTGACATTATATGTCACACATGTATAAACACCAAATAGTTTCTCTGGTGTGAAAAACTAAACACGTAAATAAGCATCAAAATGTATATTTGATATTGTGTAATAGGAAAAAAAGGTCTAAAACAGAAGAGGAAGTGGGAGTGCAAGGGGTAGGAGAAAGGCAAAAAGGTAAAAGAAAAAAATGTGAAAATGAACAACATGGAAACAATGTCTTTGTAAAGAGGGAAGAGTGAGAGGGTGAAGGGAGGGCAGGGGAATGGGGAGAAATAAAAACTAAGATCCCAACGGCAAACGTAACGGTGTTGTTTACATACAATGTACCAATAAACTTAATAAAGTTTGAAAAAAACAATAGTACATGCAACAGGACTTTGGAAAAAAGCTGGGTAGCTACGCTACTTGCAGACAAAGTAGATATTAAACCAAGACTGATTAGGAGAGACAAAGAAGGTCACTGCATCCTTGTAAAGGGAACAATCCAAGAGGAAGAAATAACAATCATAAATATATGTGCAGCAAACATCAGTGCACTCAACTATGTAAAACAAATATTAATGGAGATGAAAAATCAAATAAGCACTAGTGTAACTGTAATGGGTGACCTTAATATCTATCACAAATGGACAGTCCACCTAGACAAAAAAAATCAACAAAGCAACAGCAGAACTGAACTAAACCTTGATGGGGGTGCTGTGCTGCAAATGTGCCTTCCTCCTCACCCATTACCCTTAAAACCATCAAAGCATGATGTTCTGCAGACCTCAGCTACTCTCTTGGTTGTGGTTACAGAATGCACTGCAGAGACACTGGCTCATACTGAGCATCCTGATCTACCTGCAGTGTTTTCTGCCTCTTGCTGTTATAACTCTGACAAAGAGGGACTCAGTGAAGAGGGTGATGATAAAACCCTTGAGGAAAGTATTACAGCATTTTCATTATCAGTGCGGCTGAAAGTAAAATTCATAATTTTTCTGTGCTGGGGACTTGCGCCTCTGCTTTGTGAGAACAAAGAAATTTTAATATACCACA